AGAACCTCTTAATTGGTCTCCCTGCTGCTTGCTTCCCTTGCTCCCCAATTCAATATATTCTCCATGCAACAGCCAGTGGTCTTGTTAACGCATAGGTCAGATCATGTCTCTCTTTCCCAAAGTACTGCAGTACCACCCTTTTCACTCAGAGTAAATGTCCGAGTCCCGAACAGAACTACAAAGTCCTGGATCTCACTGACCTCATCAACCACTGCTCTTCTCTTTGCTCAAGTCACCTTCTCTGAGGAGCCTTCCCTGACCAAGCTACTAAAATTTCAACACCTTCTCCACCCCAATATGTCATATCTGCTGTTCTGCTTAATTTTTTCTCCTTATTACTTAACTATTGGCCCATTAAAAGGGAATTAATTAGAGGAAATCCTATCTAATAAAGAGAAAATATGCTAATTGACGGCCACCCCCTCACAAAGATGGCAGCACCCACAGCCAATAAGGAAGGAATATGCTAATTGACGGCCACCCCCTCAAAGATGGCAGCACCGACAGCCAATAAGGAAGGAATATGCTAATTGACGGCCACCCCCTCAAAGATGGCAGCACCGACAGCCAATAAGGAAGGAATATGCTAATTGACGGCCACCCCCTCAAAGATGGCAGCACCCACAGCCATAAGATGGTGGCTCCCAGTCCCCTCAGCCCCCCAGCTTCCCAGGGCCGACCCAAGGCTCAGGCAACCAGGGCCAAGAAATTAGTAAAATGTATATGAAAATCTCCCTCCTGTCAGAGTCTGGGGTGCACCACGGGACCCAGAGTCAAGTCACTGCCCACCCGTGTGCGCCTCGAAATCACATGAGACCCAGACCCAGCCGGGCCCTCCCCCGTCAAGCCCCTCTGGGGCGGGGGGCATGGCCTCAGGTCACCCGTCAAGCCCCACTGGGGTGGGGGGCATGGCCTCAGGTCACCCAGCCCTGGCACAAGGGCATGATGACCATTTGCATATTAGCTCTTTATTATATAGGATAGTAATGTGAATATGATTTTTCTTGTTTATTGTCTAACCCTCTCCAACAGGATATAAACTCCACCAGACCAACTGATTTTTCTTTTATTATTTCCTTTTCATCATTATATCCTTCATACACATAGAAGCTGACTCTATAGCAAGTGCTCAGTATATTTTAACTGAATGAATGAGTGAATTAGTGAATGGCAAGATGTAACTCTTCCCAGAATTATTCTCCAAAGTAAGCTGGTGGCATCACACCAGCTGCAGCTCTTTCCATTGTTTCTTGATAGTGGAAATCTCAACTTCTGACCTGATGTTCTGGCACCCAGAGAGCAAGGTCACCATTGGATTCATAGGTGTTTCCTCTTGCTCCAAAGAAAGTTGCTGTACACATCATCACCTTAGAAATACCATAGAGGTGCCTGCCCAGAGCAGGAGGAATGAATCCTGAGCCCCAGCCCAGGCCTCAGCTGGCCCAAGTAATCCCTGACATATAGTTCTTCATGATATTTTCTTATAATCCTTTGTATTTCTGTGGTGTCAGTTATTCTCCTTCCTTTCTGATTTTATTTGAGTTATTTCCTTTTTTTCCCCTTGAGTATGGTTAAAGGTTGTCAATCTTGTTTATCTTTTAAAGAACTTACTCTTTGTTTTGCTAATCTTTTGTACTTTTTTTTAGTCTGTGTAATTTATTTCTGCTCTAATCTTTATTATTTCCTCCTATTACTTTAGGTTTCGTTTGTTGTTCTTTTTTCTAGTTCCATTTAGGTGAAAGGTTAGATTGTTTATTTCAGATTTTCCTTGTTTCTTCAGGTAGGCCTACATTGCTATGAATTTCCCTCAGAGGATTGCTTTTGCTGTGTCCCATAGATTTGGGATTGTTGTGTGTTCATTTCCATTTTTCTCAAGATAACTTTTGATTTCTTCCTTGATTTCATTATGGATCCATTTATTGTTTAGTAATGTTATTCAGCCCCCATGTGTTTGTGTTTTTTCAGTTTTGTTTTCTTGTGATAGATTTATAGTTTTATACCATTGTCATCAAGGAAGATACTTGATATGATTTAATCTTATTGAATGTATTAAGACTTGGTTTTTGTTCTAATATGTGTTTTATCCTAGAGAATGTTCCATGTACACTTGAAAAGAATGTATATTCTACTGCTTTGGGGTACAATGCTCTGAAGATAGCAATTAAATTCATCTGGTCTCATGTGTCATTTGAGGCCACTGTTTCCTTATTGATTTTTTGTCTTAAAGATCTAGCCATTGATGAAAATGGTGTGTTAAAATCCCCTACTAAGACTGTATTATTGTCAATCTCCACCTTTATATTCTCCAAGATTTGCTTTATATATTTAGGTGCTCCTATGTTGGGTGCATATAGTTTACAAGGGTTATATCCTCTTATTGGATTGATCCCTTTTGCATTATGTAATGTCCTTCTTTGTCTCCTGATATAGCCTTTATTTTGAAGTCTATTTTGTCTGATATAAGTATTGCTACCCCAGTTTTTTATTCATTCCCTTTTGTATAAAATATATTTGTCCATCCTGGCTGGCATGGCTCAGTAGTTGAGCATTGACCTATGAACCAGGAAGTCACAGTTAAATTCCCAGTCAGAGCACATGACCAAGTTGAGGGCTTGATCCCCAGTGTGAGGCATGCAGGAGGCAGTTGATCAATGATTCTCTCTCATCATTGATGTTTCTATCTCTCTCTCCCTTCCTCTCCTCAGTGGATAGAGTGTGGGCCTGCTGACTTAAGGGTCTTGGGTTCGATTCTACTCAAGGGCATGTGCCCTGGTTGAGGCTTGATCCCCAGTGGGGGGCCTGCAGGAGGCAGCCAATAGATAATTCTCTCTCATCACTGATGTTTCTATCATTCTCTCCCTCTCCCTTCCTTCCTGAAATCAATAAAAATATATTTTTTAAAAAACATATATATTCATCTATCCCTTTACTTTAAATTTGTGTGTATCTTTCATTCTGAGCTGGGTCTCTTGTAGACAGCATATATATGGGTCATGTTTTCTTATCTATTCAGCTACCCATTCTTTTCACTGGAGCACTTAATCCGTTTACATTTAAAGTAAATATTAATAGGTACTAATTTATTACCATTGTATTTTTTATATCTATGTTCTATTTTTTTTCTTTTCTTATTCTTAAAGAAGACCCATTAACATTTCTTGTGCTACTGGTTTGGTGGTAACAACCTTCAATAGCTTTTTCTTATCTGGAAAGCTCTTTATTTTGCCTTCAATTTTAAATAGTAGTCTTGCTGGGTAGAGTAATTTTGG